CATGTGTGTTGGTCTAGAATTTGAGCTTTCATGATTGCAGTTTTACTATTTTAATTTCTTGTTCATTTCAAAAATAAACTTCTTGTTGAGGATAATCCATTATTTAGTATTAGAAATGTAGCAATTTTTAGTATTTACTCCCTACGTTTCACAATGTAAGACTTTCTAGCATTATCTACATTCATATAAATATTAATGAATCTAGACACATATATGTTTAGATTCATTAATATCTATACGAATATGAGCAGTGTTAGAAAGTTTAACATTATGAAACGGAGGAAGTAGCGATTAATTTTAGTAATATAAGGCGTAACTATCTCTAACGCAAAAGTAAAAAAATATTATTATCACATCTAATCATTCTAATAAATACAATACATACATATAATAAAATTAGAGATATTAAGAATGAAGGTTTTAAAAAAGAATTAAAAGGAAAGGAAGATGCTAATTAATTGTATATATGCATATGTGTCTTAGGCCACAACCAATAGGAGTTTTATTCCCATTAAATAGGATGCCATGTCAGTATTTTTAATGATGTGCAGAAATTAATGAAGTGGAAGACAAAATAAGCCACATCTAGATGAATTCATGCATATGTTGTCTCTAGGCCTCTAGGGTTAATTGGATCCATGCCAATGTAAATATATTGATTCAGATAAATATTACTATAATTCTTTTATGAGTATCCATACCATTCAAAATCACATAAATCAGAACCATACTATCACCGTCACTTTTTTCATCTTCTCCCCCCATCTGCACGTGGGACCTACCCGTCAAATTCATCTTCTTCCTTTCACGAGCAGCTGCAACCAGATCTCTGGGGCGAGGGCAGCACGAGCTCAGCGGTCGCGGACGCCATGGCAGACCTCTCATCGCCGTTCTCGAGAGCATGGATGGGGAACATATGAGGCTTACCCTTGCAGAGCGCGAGAACGGGAGTGAGGGAGAAGCAACGACCACGAGCACCTCATCTTCGTTGTCCTCCTGCGCGCGGCTGCATAGCGAGAACCCCTCGCCATCATCATGAGAGGGGTAGCGGAGCGGCACCTCTCACAATCGTCGTCCGCATCCTCGGGGCCTTGCCGTACGTCGCCGTCCTCGAGCGCACGGCTGGGGAGGATGAGCGGCCCATCTTCGCCGAGTGCGAGCAGTCCTTCCGCTGCAGAGGAGCGGGCCGGTGGGAGCGCTGTTAGGCACGCAGCCGTCGTGGCAAGGGCGGTGTCACCGAGCACACGGTGAGCATGCGGAGGAGCGGAGACGAGGGCGCATTAGCAGCATCGCCAAGCACGCGACCGGTGCGGCGAGGGCAGCACTATGGAGGACAAGAGTGCTGGATGGAGCATGAGGACGCAACCGAGCATGCAAACTGGGGCAGAGCAAAGGGCTTGCTACTCGGAGGTTCTGGCGTTGTGCCGGTGGACAAGCACGGCGTCGTCATTGCTGGCTCGGCCAACACTCCTGCTTCATTCCCGGCCTCGTTGACACCCCCACCGCTCGCACTACTACCGCTGCCATCTCAATGCAAGAAGATGGGAAGAGAGAAAGAACATACGAAGAAGGAAGGAGATGGATGCAAAACGTAACGACAATGGCACGGTCCCTATTTTGTAAGATTTCAGTGATACGGTTACGAATAGACGAATTGTAATGATATTTATCTAAGTCAGCATATTTTGTTTATAATATAGTTTGTCTTACATATAATACGTATGAAACAACAAAAATGAGAACAATGGATTATATGAGTTATTTTAATCATCAATTAAATGTGTAAATGAATGTGTTGTTTCTTATGTCGGCATCACTGAAAACATAAAAATAATATCTCCCTCTCACTGGCAATAATTAACCTTATATATTAGTATGAAACATTGTTATTTTAGGATGGATGAGGTAAATAATACTACATAGTGCCAACAACATGAACGATGCAGGCGTGCACACACACAACGCATGTGCATCTTCTTCTCGCCGAATCTCAATGCATCGAGCGCATGTGCAAGCGTACAGGTCAAACCCACGGATCACGGTGCATCCGCGCCAGCAAACGCAGCGTTGCCGTCCACGTGGCATACGTCGCTCCCTGCATGCCGCACACGTACGTGTGCCCGTGCGACACCTGCATTCGAAAACGCAGGTGTATTCTCCTCGTATGCGGCCGGCAAATTCTCAAAAGCTGTCACATCAAATATTTAATACCTACCTGAAATATTAAATATAAAAATAACCAATTAAACAGATTGGATATAAGTTGCGAGGTGAATTTTTAAGCCTAATTACGCTATAATGTAACAATTTAATGCTACAGTAAATATTTATTAATGATGATTAATTAGGCTTAATAAATTCGTCTCCCAATTTTCTAGCAAAATCTGTAATTTATTTTATTATTAGACTACGTTTAATACTTTAAATGTGTGTCCGTATATCTGATGTGATAACTAAACTTAAAAATTTTCCCCAACTAAGCTTGCAAGAGACTGTGCGAGCACCTACCTAACATGGTTGCTTATAGTTATTGCTCATTAATCCCTTCGTTTCATATTATACGTCGTTTAACACTTTTGTTAAACTTTGTTTAGTTTGAAAAAAAAATATAGGAAAATTTAGCGATATGCCGATATCTAAATTCTCAAATTAGTTTCAATCTAGCATTGAGTATATTTTAATAATATATTTATTTTATACTAAAAATACTATTATATTTTTTTATAAACTTGATTAAACTTTAAAAAGAGAAAAGTACGAAATGGAGGGTTTATTATCCTGCTCTATATCTATTGCTTTAGCTGAGTACACCTGTCCGTTTTCTACATAGTACATGTAGTACTACTATTAAATTGGATAAAGTACTAAAAGTAAGGATATTCAAATTTGAGTAAGATAAATATTTAAATTTTACAAGACTACATACATCTTAATTTCACAAAACAGCTGATTTAATACAATATATAACAAAATATAGTTTTTTTACTAAATTTGTTCCGAACCTGTAGATTTAAGGTGAAGTCAAAAACTAATGGGTAAAAAAGTTAACAGAAAACTACATATTTTAAAGTTTAGATGCACATTAGTGTGGAGTTACACTAGCTGCAGTTTTGAGTTAAATTTAGGGGTGAAAACGGAGCAGATTCGGAGCAAGTGCGGATAGTGTACGGATGCGAATACAGACGAGGATTGTTTCGGATATCAAAAATGGTGCGGAATCGGTTAAAAACAGATTAAATTTATCGGATGTTACGTGTGTATGAAATCAATAGTTACATGTGTATGAAATGACTGACCCGACCGTAACTTATGTTACATGTGTTGATAATTTTACATTATCCGGCAAACGGCCTATCAGATTTTAGAGATACCATATCATATCCTCATCTGCATCCACATCATACTATCCACATTTGCATCCATATCCGTCAGATTTCTAAAATCTCATACCATATCCTTGTTTCCAATGGATTTGGAGTGGATCTACCCGATCCATTCTCACCCCTAGTTCAATTAGTGTTAAATCTATAATTCTGCAATACTATATATTAAACATGTGCTTTTATGATAATTTTGATGTTAAATTTTTATGATATAATTGCCAATTAAATCTATAGTTTTACATTAGTTTGGTCAAAATATTAGTACTTTGTGGAATTTATTAATATACTACATTATCAAAATATATAATGAATATAACCGTACAACCCTCCTGTTACGACCGGGTCAGTCATTTCCGGAAAAGCTAGTTGGCGCGCGCGCCAACGAGCATTTTCGGCCCACGCGGCCCGCACTCTCTCTCTCCTTTTCTTCGCTGGGTAGTTTCTCTCTTTTTTTTTCTTTCTCGCTGGTACCTTTTTTTCGCTGTTTCTTTCTCTTTTTTTTTTCTTTTTCGCTGTTTCTACCGTACCGTACGTAACGTAATTAGTTTAGATTAGTCTTTTTTACTAGTGATTAGTTTACTAGTATTTTTTAAAATCTTAACTTTAAAATTTTAAAATTTGGACTTGAAATTTTTTAAATCTCAAGTTGAAAATTTTCTAATCTCAAGTTGAAAGTTTTTAAATATTTCAAATCTGGACTTGAAAGTTTTTAAATATCGAGTTGAAAATTTTCAAATCTCAAGTTGAAAGTTTTCAATTTTTTCAAATCTTGACTTGAAAGTTTTCGAATCTAAGTTGAAAGTTTTCGAATCTCAAGTTGAAAGTTTTCAATTTTTTTAAATCTGGACATGAAAGTTTTCGAATCTCAAGTTGAAAGTTTTCAAATCTAAGTTGAAAGTTTTCAAATCTGAGTTGAAAGTTTTCAAATTCGAATGGAAAGTTTTCAAAATTTGACTTTTAAATTTAAATCTTAAATCAAAAGTTTTCAAAACTGACTTAAAAATTTTTAATCTGTTGGTACAACAATCTCCCAAAAAAAAAAATCTTGAGAATCTTCCCTAATTACTCGTCATTAGTAGTTAAATGGATGTTAACTAATAGTACTATAGATAATTAGGGAGGTGAGGTGCTCGCTGCTGGCGCGCACGCGCCAGCTAGTAGCCCCCAGTCATTTCATACACCGTATAAGCAAAATTAAGGATCATTGGTAGCTCATTCGGAACGGATTAACATCAACTCCACAAAATCCCCTAAAATTCTTTTGTTCCTAATAATCCTCCTACTTAACTGTGATGCTACCTCATGCTTCTGTAACTTAATTAGGATGGATCCTGCCATATGCATCTGCAAGAAGGAACGTAGTAGTACAATACAGTCTACATAAACATTAACAAAAGCATAATATATATGTTGCTTAATCAGATGCAAATGCGTTTGCTTTCTTCAGGTGAAGACGTGAAAGATAATACAGTATAGTAGCATTAAGCCCCTTGATCCGCAACTGGCGGGGTCAACTCACCATTTGCACCCCTAATCACACACACTTTGCATCGCTTAATATGTAAATTAACTTTGCACATCTGTTCATGCATGCAGTGCTACTCTTCTCTCTCCAGCTGCTTGATTCTGCCATTTTCTTTATTTTATTTCTGCTCAAAAGTCATCACATGAAACTTGCTACAAAAACCTGTCTGCTTAATTACTTCTTATGCACAGGAGCTGACAAGTAGTAGTAGCTTTGCAAGAGGTTTATTAATTGCAGTATACTAGTACTGATTACTGAACACTAATTGACATTTGACACTTCATCAGCTAATGCATTCAGGCACAGGCAGCCTTAGGCTGCTAGCTCTAGGCAAATGCATTGGATGATTATATAGATGGATCATGAGATCATCATGTTATCTGATGAGATGATCCAGGCAACACCTGCTGCTTCGCATTAGGTTGTTGCTCACTTGCTTTCTTTTTTCTAATCTACAGACGATTACACCAAGTATCATGGCAAGAACAGAAGAGGAAGGGACTGAAACTCTGAAACTCTGAACTTCTCAGGTTTCAGACACCGGGAGAAATAACAGAGGCCACTTCTTCTGCAAAATCAACTCCTGCAAAAGGAAAAAAAAAGGTGTATAATTTAGGCTCATTAGATCTGTTGAGGTTGATTGATTATGCAACTGTGCAAATGTGCAAGCAACCAGTCATAAACCTAACCTAAAACTTGCATGGATGGATAGGATTGAAACAAAAAAAATCAACTGGTATTAGTCAAAATGGAAGACAATGCGTAGCATTAGCAAGGACTCTGATCAAGTAGAGGTTAGGATATCATTGTCAAACATTGACACGCAAGTACCATGATCTCATAGAGTAAGGACTATGTAGTTACAAAATGTAGAGACTTTTAAATTCTTTTTTCTATTTTTTGGGCGAGAAAGGTACATAATTTTCTGCCCAAATGCAGGACCAAGCTAAGACTAATCGACATGTCCTTTTCATTTGTAAATCACAGAAGCAACAGACTTAATTTCTTTTTTGTATATATACGTGGATTGATAACGGAGCTGACAAATCTGTCGCGTGAAAGCAAACAAAACTTAATTCAAGCATTTATTTTTCCAAATTTGAAAATAAATTCGAGGCTTTGACGCCTTGGTTCACTTAGTGAATTTGTGATTGCAGATTTGAATAGTGCTCCACTAATTGCCGATTTTCATGCTCTCGTAATTGCAAAATTTATGGCTTAATTAAAATGGCATGCATCATTCCATCATGAATAGTTCATGAACATGATCAAGAATTAGTAATAAATCTTTAATCTCTGAATATTTCTGAATATTACCTTTGATGAGCAGAGCAGCAGCAATGGAGATCAATCGTTGAAGAGGATGGCGTCGGCGATGTCCATGAGCGGGGCGAGGCAATCCGGCGAGAACTTGCGCGCGAACATGTAGTCGTGGGTGGTGTTCTTCTTGGGGCGGCGGAGGTCGGCGACGAGCTCCGCCGACACCTCCGCCGCCGTGTACGTGTGCGGGTGGCCGTGCACGCTGCCGGCCCAGTTGACGTGCGTCAGCGTGTACCGCGCGACGCCGGCGGGGTCGGCCATGTCGAGCAGCGTCGGGAAGTAGTGCTCCTCCGGGTAGCACGCGTTCTGGTCCAGGCACGGCTGCCGGAACTTGTCCCAGAGGCGGCGCTCGCCGACAACGAGCGCGGCGTGGCGCCGCGCGAGTGTGAAGAACTGGGAGCCCACGCGGAACCGGTCGAACGGGACCTCGGGAAGCATGGCGCCCTCGCCGCGCGCCGCGTACCGCGACGCCATCTGCGGCTCGCCGTCGAGCACCTCGATGTAGCTCGGGAGGCGGCGTTGGCGGCGCGCCGCCGCGGCCGCCGCGGCGGGGGGCGGGAACAGCGTCGCGTGGAGGTGGCGGAAGGAGTGGACGGGGATGCAGTGCTGCGACAGCAGCGCGAAGTAGGCGTTCGCGGCGTCGTCCACCAGCGCGGCGGCGAGCAGGCGGCGCGCCGCGGCGATCAGCGTCGCGTCGGCGCGCTTCGTCGGCCCCGCCGCCACGAACCGCCCCTTGAACGACCTCGTCGGCGGCATCATCAGCCGCGCCGCCGGGTCGGCGTGCACGTACACGTTCAGCCTCTCGCCATGCCCCTCGAAGAACCTCTCCCACAGCGGCGCGAACGTGAGCTCCGAGTTGGTGAGGAACAAGAACGCCACCTTAGGCTCCGCCACCGCCATCGCCGCCGCCCCCTCGCCGCCGTCCAGCGTGGCTCGCCGGAACAGCGCGAGATCACCATCCTCCCCACCTCCACCCACCCCATCACCCACCACAGGCGGCGACGGCGTCGCCGTCGCCGGCGGCGACGAGGAGCGCGGGGCAAGAACCACCAGCCAGGTCAGCGACGCAAACAAGAGGACAGTAAGCACCAACGGCGACGACGACATCGCCAATTCCGGCGAAAGGACCACCGATCTTGCTCTCCGCGGATCGAATCGCCGGAATCCGGGGTCAGATCATGCTCCCGGCGGCCGGAATCGATCGGGGAATGGAAGCGAGGAGGCGAGGAGTGAGGTGAGGTGAGCTCGCGGCTCTCGCTTTCGCTCTCTTTTCCTCTTCCACTCTCGAGCTTATATAAAAGGAAAAATCACGGGGCTCGTGTCCATGACACGTGGGGCCCACGGTTGAGTGGGGCCCGGTGGCAGTGGTGTGGAGGGGTGGTGGACGGTCGTGGGTGGGAGTGGTAAGGGTATGGATGGATTTGCGCCGTCGGATGCGGGGTGTACGTGGCAGGGGAAGGTGGTGGACACGTGGCGAGTATATCGCTTTGTCTACTCTGCTGGCTTTCGGTTGTGTTCGGTGCATAGGGCTGGGGGGAACCGGCACGCTAAATCATGCGGTGAATTAACGTATGTTTAATTAAAGATTAGCTTAATAAAATTTGGAAATTGATTACTATGATTTTAAAAAGCAATTGTCCTATAAAATATTACCAATTAACAGGTTGAGAAAGTGTGAGAAAGAACACATACATGAGCTTTGTACATAGATCACCTCAATTTCTGTTAACATGTTTTAACACTGATGACTTATTTGATCTTTGATGTGTAACTTATGCCAATATTTTTCTACTATGATATAACAAAATTGCAAAATTATAATGATGTAAAAATATTTATAAAGAAAAATCTACCCATATGATTTTCTTTTATTATATTAAAGAGCTATTGATGGTGAAAGTTTTAAAGTTTGACCGACTATAGTCAACAATATCATACATTTAAACAAATGAAGAAGATAAAAACTATCATTTGTATGATAGAAGAATTCGATAAATAAAATAGAGAAAACATGATGTGATACATTATTTTTATTTTCCTTCAAAAGGGTTCTAAACATGTTACTTTATCGTAGCGTCCATCCAAGCACTCAAGGTGCCTTCCTCACAGGGATTTTATTCTGGAATTAATTAATTTGCCCACATGAAATTGCTGACATTTCCAAATAAGCTTTGAAGTCCAAACTAAGGAAAACCAAAATTCACAGTTCTATTTTCTTATAAATGATGCATTAAGCAGCTCCAGGAAGAAAATCATTCTGAAGTCTGAACTGAAAAAACCAGGACGTTAACCTGAACGACCACCATTTCCAATCACAAAAACACTTTCCAGTGATGAAATTTTCTGAAGCAACCATCATACAGAAAAGGAAGTTAAATAAGTTACCGTCAAGGAACTAAAACACATACGAGTTGTTCTTCAAATTCACAATCCTAAGTTGTCCAAAAACCAAAACCAAACTAATCAGGGCTGACTTAGCTGCTCCAAACTCCAAAGTCGTCCAAATTGTGTAGAGCTTGACTGGCATGAACAATACCTTCAGAGTGGCTCAAATCTTAATCAGGAAGAGGAATTGGCCTTACGGGTAAGGCGAACACAATCTGGATAAACCAGCTCACAAACCGAGAGCGTTTCGACCTCCTCGCGACGAATTTCAGAAACATCGACAACATTGTTGTGGTCTTCTCTGCAGAGATATTCAATGGCGACCTCATACCCATCAAGATACTGAAACCCTTCCAAGGGTGACAGCATCGATATACAAGGAAGGGCGAAGAGCGGCTTGGGGTCGACCTTCATCGCCCTGATCATGGCGGAATTTCTGAGAATGTGCAGTGACAGCTCCAATTGGTCTTTCATGCCGATGAATCCACTTATGTGTACAAGCCTGAGATGGGCATGAGGCTGCGGTGGAAGACTCCGTAGCTCGCCATGAGCTTCTTCGCGATACCGTTGATGGTGAAGGGGCATCCACATCTAGAAAAAAAATGATAAATGAGAAACGTCCAGGGGTCTTCCGGATAGCTCCACAAGGTTGTGGGCGTAAGTCTCACCCCTTCTAATTATTTGATTTTAGGTCATTCCCTAATATTCGCGTCTTTTTAGAAAAATGATAAATATCAGCATAAAAAATGATAAATATCAGCATTGTGGGAAACATGGTGGTGTTATTATAGGTATATCTACATGAATATAGAGAACAGAAAGCATATAGGCAAGGCAGGCCATTTAACTCAGGCCAGCACTACTGATTTGGTGGTTTAATTGTATATATAGGATGGGGCTTTTTTTCAGACTAGCTAGAATATTAACGATTAGCTCATTTCTCACTGTAATTGCAAGTTACATGCATGCCACTCTAGATCTATACAAAAGTAAAAAAGTGTTGCATAATAAGAGAGTTAAAAGCTCTATCAGAACTATATTATTTTGTTGCTCAGAAGAATGTTCATAGTATGGACTTTAGTCCAAAACAGGATTAGGTTGTGTGGTTGTGTTTCAGTTGAAACTGAAGTCAGAGTCAAGCAAGTAAAGGAAATGTCCAAGCAGATATAATCTAACATAATATAAAAGCAGTTCTGCTAGAAACAGAAAATAGTGTTCAATAAACAATATAAAGTGAGTGACCATCTGTACCCACATAACGAAAAAAATCTCATGTAAAAGCCACTAAGACAGTATTCAGTTTGAAGAAGATTGATCGGTTTACATAAGTGAATTGCGTAATCCAAATCTCCAAAAGACAGACTTACATGTAATTCAAACTTTTGCAGTAAAGGAGCAGCTTCCAGTAGGCAGGCAAAGTCAAGAAGATCAATCTTCTTTTCCGTCACAGGGTGTCTCAATTGCAACCTCAAATGCTTTAGATACATAAATTTGATATGATTTTCTGGCAAAATAGCCCTCTGATACGCACAAGAAGAGAAGAGACATAACACAATCAATCTCACATAGGGAATGATGAGCAAGAATATTTGAATGCAGAAGAACTGAGTTCATGACCAAACCTCGAGTTCTGAACATTGCAAACTCAGCGTCTCGAGATGGAGCAGCGTGCTTGGAAGATTGGTGAAGATATATCCAAGAGAGGAACGAGCGTGTTGCAGCTTCATGCAGACATTCGTTAGCAGCAATGGCCCAGGAGGTGACAACGGTATCAGTGTGCCCTTGTACCCAAGTTTCGTCAGGCCAAGATTCAACTCTATCTCTTTAAGCAGATGGCAGCTCTCGACATGCAAATGTTTAAGCTGGTTCCAAAGGTGCGATGTCGACAATCTTGTGAGCTTCCCACAATCAACGATACCAAGAAACTCCAAGGCATTGCAGTTGGAGATCAAAATCTGCATGTTTTCATCAGTAATATTTGTGTGTTCTAACTTGAGCCTTTTAAGGTTCAGAAAGGCTTTGAAATCCACAGGCGGGTTCAGAGAAACAGCACTAAGCCTCATGGACAGCAAATATGAACTGTCCATAGCACCGAAAAACTTAAAAGGGAAATCATAGGGCCCCTCTCTAGGATACCGGGATTTGAAATCAAAAGTAAGATCTTTCGTTTTAGTAGCACTAACAAAGCTGAGCCATCTGTTTATGTGGTCTGCATGTTCATTATCCAACTTACCTTGGATTGCTATTTTCTGAACACTTAGACCACTGTGTTGCGCAAAGACTTGACTGACTCTCTCGATGAACATTTTCATCCTAAGCCGTGCATCATGTGAGGTCGAAGCTAATCTTGGCGACATCGAGTAGAAGGAGAATTCCAAGTTTACATGGGAACACCAGATTTTTTTCCAGTGGCTTGATAATATACTCGTCCTTGCCGCCTCTTTTATCGGCAGCCGGGATATGATACCAATCAATATATCCTGCAACGAGGAGAACAATGGTGTCAACTGTACAAACAAATCAGCATGTTGTTGATGAATGAATTATCAATTGATCATACCGTAGGTAGGTCATTGAAACGAATCACTGGTCTTTTCCTTTTGGTCGTAGTAGCATCATCCATGTCTTCTTCTTTTTTGGTTGTATTAGTTCCAATCCGTTTCAAGCTTCGTTTTGTCTTTCTCGTAGCCACCAAACTGCTGCCCACAGCAGCAACACCAACACGTTGACCTAGCTAGTAACAAAATTAATGGCTTGAATCTTAGGAACTACTATGAGGCTTGTTCGCCGGAAACCAAATAACAGTCGGATGTAAGCAAGAAAAAGAAAGCGCATCTGATGCAGGGATCGATTGATTGCCCTGTTCTAGATCGATCGGGTACTGTCTCTGGAAGATGCAAATTCCCTGTACGGGCAAAAGAAGAAATTTTGAAGGGGTTGGGAGGGGGGGGGGGGTGAATACCTGAGATTTGGTCGATCGGCAGGATTCGTACCCGCGGCAGAGGAAGATGCAGAGCACGGAAGCGGCGGCGCAGCCGTTTGGATGAAGAAGAAGATGATGATTTGTATATATATATATATATATATATATATTAGAAGATGATGAGCACCGACTTGACCTCCAACTCTAATCCGAAACGAACACTGAACCGATAGTCAACTTTCAGCAAGAGGCAGGCATAGCGCCGCCGGCAACGGACAGCCGGATCCGGCGTGGCGTGGGGCTAGGTCGCCGGCCCGCCGCCTGGGGCTCGTCTGCTCAGGGATAGGGCAGTCATCACTCAATGATTCCCCCCCCCCCCCCCCCCTCTCAGAGAGGGAGGGTGAAACCGTGGAGAAGTGAGGTTGGAGAGGAGGGGCTTACCAGATCTTGATGACTGTCGTCGCCCCTGCCCGCCGTCGCCAGCGCCTACTGCCGCCACCGCTTAGAGGTGGCCAAATGGGCCGGGCCAAACGGGCGGCCCGGGGCACGGCCGAACCTGTAGCAGGCACGGCCCGGCACGGCCTGCTACAGTAACGGGCCGTGCCGGCACGGCACGAGTAGCCGTGCCGTGCTTGGGCCGCTGGCCGAGCCCGCGGGCCGGCACGGCACGGCACGGCTACTGTAGCGGGCCGGCACGGCACGGCACGGCTACTGTAGCGGGCCGGCACGGCACGGCACGCCGGCGGCCCGTCAGGCGCGGACAGGGCGGGCGGCGGTCGAATGGGAAGGCGCCACGTGGCACTAACGGCTATTTGACCGTTCAAATTTGAAAATAACCGTTGGGAGGCTAAAAAATTCATAAAAATTTCGAAAAAATTCCAAAAAATCTCAAATTTCGCCCCTATAAATAGGGCATGAACCCCAGCCATTTCTCCTCATCCCACACTCCTCATCTTGTGCTCTCAAGTGTTTTAAGTGCTCTCTTTGTTCTCAAGTGTGCATTTTTTTTTATTTTGACAAAATTTGCTCAAATTTTGTCAAAAATCAAAATTAGTTTCGTAGTTCAACAGTTTGATCGCACAGGTTTGAAGAGCTCGCGGTTGGAAAGATGTAAGTATTATTCAAATTTGTGTATTATTTGTATTGTGTTTGTGAATTCAATAAATATTCGAAAATTTGTTTATGTCGGTTTAAATTTTCAGAATGGATCCGAACTTTCCATACCAGTCGCCGTCGTTCACCTTGGGTGATTTCGACCCCAACTACATGTCGGGGTTTGACGGTACCTCCGGATCGGCTCCAACTCCACCATCTGTGGAGGAGGTACCGGTTCATACGGCTGTCGTTGAGGAGGTACCGGTTCAGGCGGAGACAGCTTCGGAAGGATTTTCCGGAACCGCGAGCGGAAGTGTTTCGACACACACCGGCTCGAAGAGATCGAGAACCTCCGGTGTGTGGCAAAGCTTCGACGAGATAAAGGAAACATGCCCCGACGGAAGGGAGGTATCGAAAGCCCGTTGTAGAATATGTAGGCAAATTTTATCTGCTCGTTCTTCTGGTGGTACAGGTCACCTCAAGCGCCATGCGGAGTCGTGTGCCAAGAAGCAAGGAATACAACTCCGGCAGCAGCAACTTATGGTAAACCCAGACGGTACGGTACGCAGTTGGGAGTACGATCCCATGGTTGCTCGGGAATCTCTTGTCCGGTTAATCGCCAGGCAAGATTTACCCCTGAACTTTGGGGAGTCCCCTGCTTTTGAACATTACATTCAGCAATCTCATAACCCTAGGTTTAAAGCTGTGAGTAGGCAAACATCAACTAGAGATTTAGAGAATGTTTATCACAAGGAAGCAACTGCACTTAAGGAACTGTTTAGTACATGTACTTTCTCTGTTAGTGTTACTTCAGATATATGGAGTAGTAGAGCTAGAGAGGATTATCTTAGCGTAGTTGTTCATTTTGTTGATGATGATTGGCAATTACAAAAGAGAGTTTTAGGGCTTAGGTTAATAGATGTCTCACATACAGGAGAAAACATAGCTGAAAGAATTAGGGAAGTAATTAATGAATTTAATCTTGCTGATAAAATATTTGCTGTCACCCTAGATAATGCATCTGCTAATTCTAGGGCTATTGAAATATTGCAACCTTTATTTTGTGTGTATGCTCAATCTTTTCTACTCCATCAGCGTTGTGCATGTCATATAATTAATTTGATTGTTAAGACTGGCATGAAGATGGTAGGTGACCACATCGATGCTGTTCGTCAAGCAATCGCGTGGTTAACTGCTTCTAACCCGCGGATTGCTGCATGGAAGAGGTTTTGCAATGCGGCCGGTGTGAAAGCTCGTAAGTTTGCCACCGATGCAGAGCATCGGTGGAATGCAACGTATTTAATGTTAAAAGTTGTTTTACCTTATAGTAGTTTACTTTCTGATTTTGTTCAGTCACGTGGTGGCCCAAGAAACAGTGACGGGTCTTCAGTACTGAACGAGCATGTTTAGGCAATTGTCCAAAAATTTTACCAATTTCTAGAAACTTTTTATGATTGTACTCTAACTTTGTCACAAGTTTATTATCCAACTGCTAATATAATTTTGCACAACCTTCTTGAAATTGCTACTTTATTTAAAGAATACGAAAATGATGACGTTCTAACTGAACCTGTCTTTCACATGAAACAAAAATATTTGAAATATTGGAAAAATATACCTATGTTGTATGCTCTTGCTTTTGTTTTAGATCCTAGGTGTAAATTAAGGGGATTGTCTGCTATTTTATCACTTGTTGGAGATACTATAGGTGTAGATTATAGTTCTTTTTATACTGAGGTTAGACGTAAATTATATGAGGTTTTTGGAAGATATGAAGTAAAGTTTCAGGAAGTTCGCCAGCAGAGACCCCCTCCTATCCCCACTACAGGTAAGAAGAAGATACAGTGGGGTAGGATTTGGGGTGGATCGTCTTCAAGTTCAATCCAAGGTGGTGGCAGTTCGTCGGCTACAAGTGGAGACGCCTCTTCGCATGTTGTGGCCGAAGAGTTGTCCGGTTATTTGGACAGCGACGCCATCCACCACGAAGCACAAGATTTCAACGTCCTCGGGTGGTGGAATGACCACAAGATAACATATCCTGTGCTTTCAAAACTAGCACGGGATGTGTTGACGGTGCCCGTGTCGACGGTGTCCTCCGAATCGGCCTTCAGTCTATGCGGCCGAATCATCGAAGACCGGAGGACGACTCTGCGCAGCGACCACGTCGAAATGCTACTAAGCGTTAAAGACTGGGAGCTTGCTCGACAACATGCCCAATACACTGCGGACAACCAAGAATTGGCCGCCCAGTTCGAGCAACTCTACCTGGATCCAGACCAACCCCAGTAGAATTTTGTTACAAGTAGTTCTGACCTTTGAGCTGTACTCTTTTCTTTGTCATGGTTTTCTCATTTTCCCCTATGAGTTTTTACATGACAAAGTTTTTAACGAGGCAGCATGTATCATTGTATCCTGTAATGATATAAACATCAATAAAGGTCATTACTATTTTTAACAAATTCTTTTGCAATATTTTCGCAAGTGTGGATTTATCTTTAAATTATTTCAAAATAATGAATCACAATCTATATTTTTAAATTTTTCAACACAACAAAAAAATACCATTTTTTCTTTTTTTTAACATTAGCAAATCATTACTTTTTTAAAAAACTTTTATTTCCATTTTTTAAATACCATTTTTTCATTTTTTAACATTAGTAAATTATTACTTTTTTTAAACATTTTATTTCCATTTTTAATTTTTTTTTTCCTTATACATTTCCTTTGCTTTTTTTTAAAAAAAAAACACTGTGCACTGCAGGCTGGCGGCCTGCCTTCACGGGCCGCCGTGCCCCGAACGACCCGTGGGCCGCGGGCGTGCCGTGCCGGCACGGGCACGGCCCGGCCATCCACGGGCCGTGCTTGGGCCGGCGGCTCGGCACGTGGGCCGGCACGGCACGGCCCGTTTCATCAGCCGTGCCTAACGGGCCGTGCCGAAACGGGCCGTGCCGGAACCGTGCCCGTGCCGGGCCGGGCCGTGCCGCCCGTTTGGACACCTATACCACCGCTTGAGTTGCGTCGTGTGCTGGTTGATTTTCAGGGCCGTGTGCCGATTTGCCTGATTTTCTTCTCGTTTCTTTTTTAATAGGCAGATGGCGCTGCATAGCAATTAACGTGAGAAAAAAAAATAAAGCATATGGCAATTTATTTGTTCAAATAATAGCCCTTAAACAATAATACATACATTTTATATGGTTAGTTAGAAGATAATAGTAAAAAAATATAGAAGGATGTAGTATGGATGATCTGTTAAAGTAAAAAAAGATATAGAGAGAATTTTTTTTTTACCATTTAGTAGGTATATGAAAGATAAAATTTGGATGAGCTGTTGGGATGCTCTTATACTACCTTGGATAGACTACTTTGACTTCTTGAAAGCAAAATAACCCTACCACGACTAGAGACCGGCATGATTCTAATTTTGTAAAATGTTAATGACACGGTTATAAATAGATGAATTATAATGATATTTTTTAAATAGTCAAATTACCTTTTTTTTGTTTTTTTAAGGTGACGAAATGATTATACTTGCGCAGGGGTATATTTGTTATTACTTTTGAACCGTGGTCAAACTAGTGAGTCGGCGAATTCACCAGTTCAATAACATTGATCTCATTGGATGGTCTAATCAGCCAAAGAAAAAAACAAATTTTTAAATTTTTAAATTTAATTTTAAGATTGATTTAAGATATTTTTAATGTAGTTTCTTTTTCAGCATTGGCTTTTAATTCACCAAGAACATATATATATATATATATATATATATATATATATATATATAGAAAAATTATTCTACACCCGGGTATAGAATAGTCCCAAGGTCCAAACCCACCTCCCACCTTAGTCAAAGGTCAGTCAAAGCACCCCCACGTCGGTCAAAGCCTGGTCAAACTGCCTACCAACTCCCCCACCACCCACCTCTTCTCAACTCTCGTCTTGCGAAACAGTGCAGTAACGCGACAGCCATCGTGCAGTAACGTTGTGTCTTACGTGCAGTAACAACATTCAAATTTAGTTGAAATATAGTCATGACAGATCTACTTTTGATAAGCACTTTTTTTCTAACATCATGGTGTAAACGGTTTAAAAAAATCATATATCACATGAGAGATATTGTTATTCGAAGCTTGGGTTTTTTTGGATCTTAACTCTCCACAAGTAGTAATACTAGATAGCATTACTACTCGTTACTACCATCTGTCATGCGTTACTATAATCTCATCGCGACGTTACTGTAAGTGTGCAGTAAAGACCATAAGTTTTATAGTAACAATGCGTCTTACTGCAATTTTTGAATAGTGTTACTGCATAAACATGTGGTAAC